GTCCGTATTTCAAGAGTAGTGCAGCGAGGCCCAAAGCATAAAAGAGAACGCAAAAACGAAACGAAACCGGACTCGCCTGAGAAAAAAACAAACGCCAGACGCGTCAGACACGTCAGGCACTCCACATCAGGCGCGTCAGAATTTTACATCGGACGTCTCACGCTTCGCGATCCAAACGATCGCGCGTCAGAATTTTACACCGGACGTCTCACGGTTCGCGATGCAGAAACACTAACGTGGACCATTGCAGATGCGAGACTCGGTGCCGCAGCAGATAAGCTTTAGTAGGGTTGTTTGAAGAAGCAGCATCCAGATCTTTTACATAGTGTTAAAATCTTCATAAGAAGAGTCTTGCCGTAAATCTGAACAGGGAATCGGCCCACCAGCTTGATAAGTTGGCGAGCGAATATTGAAATCAAGTCTCATCAAGGTGTTATGAGAATGGTCCCCAAAACCCCTCACAAACTATGCTGCTTGGGCAGATGTCAGTCACCCCCCTGAGGGGGGTTCAAGCCCTGGTACAGCCAGCCGTCTGCACCTATAGTTGACACCTACTGTGCCCAAGTATGGCAGGCCATAAAACCAGACCGAGCAGGGCGAGCTTCTCTCAAATTGGGCCATCCTTGCTCGGTTGGCAGGCATACGTGTATAGGGTCAGCAAACATACACTCAGCAAACATACCTGGATTAGCATGATGTGTCCACAGCTCAGCAAACATACCATGATTAGCATGATGTGTCCACAGCTCAGCAAACATACCATGATGCCTGGATTACCTGGGTTAGCGTTGGGTGTGCGAGTACCATCATTAGTTCAAGCTAGGTCCCCCCAGAGGGGTATACCTCCCACAAATCAGTTTCTCCGCTTGGAGGCGATGAGGATGCTGGTTGGCCTACCGCAGGTGGCAGACACCATTGTTGCCCTCCCACCTTCCTCCTCAAGTGGGAAAACACAATGAAACTCGGACGAGCGGCAAAAATACAAAATGAAAGAACTGCACAAGAAAACATGCAGAACAAAAAAAAAAAAAGACACAGGCCGATCGGGTAACAGTACTCGGGCAGCAAACGAGAGATGTGAGACAAGGAGACGAATGACGCAGGGGCGAGAGAAGGGCAAGTGAACCAATTGCCTAAACGAAAACAGGAAAGGGAAGCAAAATGAGACAAGTGCAACTTAAATGGTATTGAAAGAGAGACGAAGAAGAAGCAACAGGGAAAAGACTAAGTTCAAGTTCATGACTTGGATGCGGGAGAGGCGGCACGCATGTGATCCCGTTGGGAGGTGTGGGTCAGAAGAGGCGTCCTGCACGTGATAGATACCCTGAGAGACTGTTCAAGAAAAAGAGTGAGGACAGTGCATAACGAACATGCAGAATGAAAACAAGAGTGACGCAGTGTACACACCTTTTTCCACAGCTTCCTATGCTATGCCCACCGTCAACAGCAGAGGCAGAGGCAGAGTCACCTTCCTGATCAATGTCAAAGATTCAACCATCCGACCTCGATCCCTCTAAGGAGTGATTCTCCTGTGTTCGGTCAGTCTCCTGTGTAACAGACACAGCTCAATCAATGCCAGTATTCACTCCGCCACACCATGACGAAGATTGGAGAAAAAGAACAGAAGGGTGAAAAGGGTATCAGGCATGGCACACACACTTGTCTGAAGGAACCACAGAGTCCAAATATCAAATATCATACAGTATTGACGCAGGCAGGGTAACCATGACGACCCGAAGAACTTCACCACATTATTAAGAGGAAACCATCACTAGAACAAGATGAGACCCATTCAATGGGAGTCGTCGAAATCCATTTCTCAGGCCATCTAGCAAGCAACATATCTTCACTGCGGACGAGTGTCGAGTATGAGCGACTACGTGAGCATTAGCACCAGCCTCAGAGCTACTCAGCTGCCGCCCTCAAACAGCGGGATGCACTCGTACTCTTGGTCGATAGGCAGGATCGATCGACACAATAGAGGAGTGGAAACTGCCCCACAAATAATCACTCTCTTGGTGTTCTCTGAAAACATAACCCACCACTAATCGTCAGTTCTTACGACAAGGAAATGTTCCGCGGAACACACGATAAAAAGACGCATGCACTATCACTACCACGCATTGGTGCGATTGACAACTAGATTGTTAAGCAGAACACACGACGCAGTTGCAGACCTGCAGGTTGTAGGAGGAGGAAAGTGAATCAACGCACAAACCAGGTGATAGAATTCCTCAATTGAGTCCATCGACTCCATCCACATGGCTGAGATCTCGTAAACAGCCAACCCGCGATCTTCTGCAGTTTCTGCACGACGACATAACCTTGATGCCTGTCAAACCAGCCAGGGGATTGACTGGCTCTTATCCCAAGTCATCTTATTCCAGGCTAGTTACGTCCACCGGTGCGATGAGCCATGGCAAGTGCCTCATCAAACACATTTACAGAGACACAATCACAGAGACAGTGCACAGCTGCACTCCACTGGCAGCATCCGAGTCCTGGGTCACGTCTAGGATCGCAGGTTCTTCATGCCAAAAGAGGCATATCATTAGTAGTACTATGATACTACTATCAACTTACCGAGGGCATAACATTAGGAGTAGCAATACAGGAGAGCAATCATACCTAACTTCGTTCCTATACGATAAAACCACCCGTACACGCGTGCCGCCACGCGGGCCTGGCGGCAACGCAATGCACGCAAAACTCCGCTGAACCACCAGTGGTGCACTTCTTTTTTCTTTTTGGGAAACATCTGTACCCAACGTAAAGATGGCAATACCCACTATAACCAGTCCAAGCGCCCAACTTGTATCTATACCCAGACCCTGTCCAACTTGAGGTAATACCGTAATGCCCTACGTTTCCCGTCCATCAACTTATGTGTGTACCGAGTCACACAGGCCCTTGGTTGGGGAGCACAAAGTTATGGTTATATGCCCAGCAACCGAGCAGGCAAAATTGAAAACTGGGTGCGCACTGTGCACATAATTTGCCTGGGTATGCGCATAATTTGAGCATTCAGGTAGTGTATAACTGCAATTTGGTGGTACCACCCTTGGCCCACCTCGGTCCTGGGCATGCAAATAATTTGCACAGACCATTTCCCGGGTACAGATGCAAGTTGGCCACTGCGACTGCATATAACAGGCATTCCCATCTTTTAATGGGGCACAGATGCAATTTTCCTTTTCCTTATTGGTCGGCGCCGCGGCCATTGTGGAAGATGGTCCTGCGCCTCCGAAATTTTGAAGCCGATGAAAAGAAATCCTGCAAGACTGGGGCTGTGTACTGGGGGTTGTAGGTCATTGCCATAGTGTGACGATTCAGCGTCATGCGAAGTAATAGTGTTGCGCCAAGACAAGGGCTGAATGGAGACCGAAAGACCACTCAACCCTTCCCAATTTTTTCAGTTCTGCCCCAGAGAAGTCACAAAAGACACCTGACTGAATGCTACCCAGAGAACCCAGAGAACTCTGCTATACTTGCACAATCACACCTATCATCCCATTCATTCAAATTGATACTTTCCTAAATGTCCAATGTCCATAGATAACAAAAACGTTTAACTCTGCACTTGAAACAATGCACATACTACAGGACACTGTACTATAAACGCAAGAACAAATGGCACTGAATAGAATGGTCTCAGTTAGCAAAAAGAAGGCAACAAGACACAAGGAAAAGGGCCAGGAAGGGCAAAACGAAAATTAAAAGACAGAAAACAAAGGCTGACGAGGTTTGTGATACAGCCACCGTTCACTGACACTCTGAAGCAGAGTCTTCCTGAAATCTGGATGGACCTGGCCGTCGGCAACACCGTTTGGCCTTTCATAACGTCATATGCCAACATGAATGGGTCTGGCAGCAACAGCACAGGTAAGAACATGAATCTCTGCAGACAACGGGAGACAAGAGGCATGCTGACAAATAACGACAAAGAGTACCAACTCAAGATTCTTCTTGCTACCCTTGCCCTACTTGGCAGAATAGCAGTCAACAACCTCGATTTCAGGCTCGGACACAAACGCAGCATAACACGCGCGCGCACACACACGCACACACACACAGAGCACGGAAGAGCTGGAGATGGGGACGAAGCTTGGGCTATCCTTCAAAATACAGACAGTGGGCAGGGAAAATGTCTTGAGAAGCATGACAAAAATTGCAAAAAGCAGGGGAGAAAAGAAAACATAATACGTATACTAAAATCTTTGATAGAAGGTAAAAAACCGGGCAGGCAGCTGGCCGTGATCTGCCGGCAGGTGCAGAGCAACAAGTCATGAGTAACAAGATATATGATTTACAAGCTCCCAAAGGGATAGACAGATGAAAAGTACAAAATTATAGGCACAGTGGCACACCGAAAAAGGGTTCACGTAAGACAGAGATGTCCAGTGTCCACAGACCACGCTGGTATATGGGTACCATCAAAACTTGCCGTACCTCACTCAAGTCAAACTTCACAGAGCAACCACCTGCCATTTTGCCCCCTCGCCCCCGAGAGAAGGGGGAAAAAAAAAGTTGCCTGGTGGAGTTTCATACCCTATTATTACTCCTCCGCCCCTCTCTCTCTCTCTCTCTCTCTCTCTCTCTCTCTCTCTCTCTCTCTCTCTCTCTCTC